ATGGGCGAGGGCGATGTACATCGATCACCTCATGGAGTTCACCGATGCAGGAAGACAAGAGATCGTAGGCCGTACCGGCCACGCACCGCTATCCATATTTGGCAACATCGCATCCATCGAAGCGCGGAAACTTGTTGGCGAGCTCCTCCATATGAGCTGGACCCGTATTCGAAGGCTCGAGATTGTCATTCGGACGAACCTTTTCGACGCGGACTCAGAGAATTGGGCGACGATGTACACAGCCGCTCCTTCACTCGAAGAATTCCGCCTCGCCTTCATGTCGAAGTGTGATTACCCTGGTGAAGAGTTGGACGACGATGAAGAAGAAGACGAAGACGAGGAAGGCCCTTCCCTGCACCGCCCTCCTGGGCTGTTCGCGGGCGACGCGCCTCGGATGCGGTCATTTTCGTGTCCATCATGGCTCGATATTGACCCATCTGCGTCATGGCCTGCCAATCTTCGGCACTTATCGGTGGGAGAGGAAGGGGAAGGAAAGGTACCCTTGTCAAAAGTTCTCAAGATGCTGTCAAGAATACGTCACCTTGAATCTCTCGAGTTATCAACCCGAAATTTCGACGTCGGCCAGGATCTACATTCCCTTCCTGTTATCCATGTTCCCAACCTCATCGACCTCGTTTTGTACTTCGAAGATATCGTCAAGAATGCCATTGTTCTGAAGCACATTGTGTCGGCCCCAGGTTGCGCAATCGAGGTGAACATGATTTCTCCTCTTTACGCTCGTCTCGGTCGGACAGGAGATCAGGATCTCATCAAGACAGTGTTGGCCTCCCACACTGAGAATTGGTTCAACAGCAATCTAGCCAACAAACCCGAATTGCTCGAGTTGAATATTTTCAAGGGCTACATAAATGTTACTCAAGACGTCGCTCCGATAGCAGGCTCAAGGGCGCGATGTTTCATCCTCAGTGTTCTTGTCATCCAACAAGAATTTATTTCGGGCATGCTATTCGTCCTCAACGCCTTCTCCTCGTGCGACTTCACTCACATTACGACCCTCGAGCTCCAAATCGGGCAAACGCACCATTGGATTGACCCCAACGTTCAGGCGTTCGTATTCTCCTTCCTGAATGTTAGGACCCTAAATACCGACTACAACACAATTAAGGCCATGTCTCCTGATGACGTCGCTGGCTCTCCATCCAATCGCATTCCATTCCCTAAACTTGCCACTATTCAACTGCACTCTCATGTTCGGGTTTTTAGGAGCGCTGAGGATGTTCAAGTTACAGCTGAGCATTCGTGGAAGCGCTTCTTTGGGTCAAGAGCACGGGCGGGATGCCCCGTCCAGGTACTTGATTTGACAAAATCTCTAGGCCCCAGACGAGCGGATCTGACAGCGCTGGAAGGTATTTCTGGTCTTAATGTTCGATGGATGTCGCGAGATGGCGAGCAGGTCAACTATATTTGTGGATCCAGTGATCTGTCCTTACTTTCAGATTGGCTTGCCTGAATTTACTACTGTGAATCCAGTTACCGGTGCCCGGAGGTGAGAGCACGAGTGAGTACTCAGTACTCAAGACCCACGCATAAACATGCTATAGAAATTCAACCGAAACACCGAGCTTCCCTGATTGTTGAGTAGAAAGTTTACAGGGTCCGACCTGCTGGTAAGTCGCACATGTTGGCCTTCGCTTCTTCCTCTCATGCGGGTTTCGAGAATGCTCTACTCATCTGTGATGACCCTCTATATCGACGTCGAGTCTTGCGGAACGCCATCAACGGATCCCAGAAATTAAGACCGGCACAGAGTAAGGTGGGCGTGGTTGCTACCGAGCTCGTGTCAACCAGATGCCGTGAGTGTCCTCCGACCAATCATCACACTCAAGCCTCCGAGATTTCTCAGGAATGTCCTTTCATGTAGAAGATTACGACAGCTCTGGAGGATGGGTATAAAGTGGGGAGTTGGAGGCCTCATGAGCTCTAATGTCTTCCCCCACAGATATTCGAGACCCTGCTATCCTGGAGACCTTTGCCAGCGGTCTGTGAGTACACCTTCTCGTCTCAATGGTGTGTAAACCTCCTGACTCAAATCGTGGCGATGTAGCCGTTTAGCGAAATATATACAATTATCGGCTTTCGTCATTCTGGTCTACGACCATCGTACGTCTTCTCTCATCTTCGATTGAAGTTTCGTGACATTATCTCGCAGTCTTGACAATCGACGTCGAGGTTCGCAAGCTTTCGCCGCCCGTCTAACTCTGTCAGACGTTCCCTAACAGATGGATTAGATCGAACGTCTTTGGAAGACGCCACTATCAGGCGCGTCGCTTCTGTTCTTCTTGAACAGATATATGGCCCCACTCCGGGGTATCGTAGTCATCACAGGCAAGTTGTGGCGTTGCTTTTGATGAGAGCTAATTTCGGTGTCCTGTGCAGCCTATCATCATCCTCGCTGGACGGGAGACAGGTGCGTCTGAGCGTCCCGCATGACCGTCGCTTGACATCTGAAGGGGATGTTCTCTTAGGTGTTCTAATTTTGTCCAGTTTATCGGTGCTTCGAGCATCGCCATTACGAGTGGTGAGGGCCAATGAAACATCTCGTGAAATATCTCATTTACCCCGCTCCTGCCTTGCTAGTATGTGGATGTACGTTATTCTCTCATGTCTGTCGTGGCTCGGTCAATTTATCTCTAAATCCCGCCGTTTATCAGTCCTCATGATACTTCGCGTATACGCCCTCTATCATCGTTCAAATATTATCCTGGCATCTCTCCTGCCTTTGTGTATCGCCCAACTCGTTACATCGGCAATTGGCATAAGCTATGGCGGAGGTGGGTATCTGGATCTCGATTTCCTTCTCCATAAGGAAGACTCATGCCGCTTCCCAGCTCTAAAATTCCCTCCTGGACCGGCGTTTGTTGGTAAGTAGCAAGGACGCACGTTGGTTCGCAGAGAAGATTGACATGATGGCGCTCAGGATGCCTCCTGACGGCAACAACAAAGTGGTTCGGTGCGTTCGGCATCTTCACTTCCCTCACACTATTCTTCATCTCCTTTCTACTAGCTGTCAATTGGGCTGGCCCACTAATTCTCGACGGAGCCGTTTTCTTCTTGACTCTGTGGCGCACGCGCGAATACATTCAATCCTCGGACAAGATACCGTGCGCTTTCTGAACTCGTTTATAGTGTCGCGAGCTGAGCACCTTTTTGCACAGGCTACTGAACGTATTGGTCCGCGATGGCACACTTTATTTCTTTGTAATATTCTTAGTCAACCTTGTCAATGCCTTTCTCTTCTTCGTAAGTTGAATTATCTCTCTTACGCGCAGCTGACTTCATATCATCTTTGCGTTACTTCACAGCTTGCTCCAAATCACCTGAAGTCGGTGGCCACGACGCTGAGCGTCATGCTGACCTCGGTCATGATCTCGCGCCTTGTTCTCAATTTGCGCTCAGCGCCTTCTGCTGGCGTCAATCTCGTCACCACACGAGAGTGTCCTCGGCCCAAGTCGTCTTTGAACTTCAATAACATAGCCACCATTGCGATCGGAAACTTAGGAGAAGAAGTCGGAGCTCTCAATTCTCGGGAACAGGAATTGGAAATTATCTCCACCATTCGCTCGGAGAGCTCAATTGAAGGAATCACCTTCGGCCGTAAGCTGTGAGGACATGTAGCATTTGTATCTGTTGGTCCAGGAAATGAGGGTCTTCGATGATCAAAGAAGTGTAGAGCAATTAAAAATGTTCTGGTCCGGTGGCCTAGCGTCGTTTGATCAAGCGCTATAGTGGATGTTATTCTTCATCCGTTCGAGTAGCTACTGCTGAAACCGCGACAGGGATTGTCAAGCTCTAGAAGGATTTTGACCCTGTATGCCTAACATTCCGCAGCTGATGGGATAAAGATTTTGTTGAGGAACTTTGAGTTTACAACAGATCGACAAATTTATACCTTGTACATCCGCCGTGCTAAGCTGTTTCATTTCCCCAATTTGCCAGCAAATCCGGGTTTCCGGACCCGCACACGTACTCCTGGGGAATGCCAGACTCGTCATGCCATCGAATCGTCAATCCTGAAAGTCCGTCCAATTTTGTCAACGGAATACGTTCTTGACATTGGGTTAGATCTAGAACCGACACAGGAGATCCTATGCAGCTTCTCCACTTGAAGAAGAGTTCATAGGACCTCTCCGCATCTTTGTCACCAGGCACTTGGCTTTCTTGGTCGCTGAAACTGTGAGACTCGATCCTAACGCGAGAGAGGTTCGGGAAGATAGGCGTTCCCGCCATTGCATCAGTGGGGGTATCAGCCTGTGGAACGAAGCCTAGCAAGGTTTGGTGACCCTTGATCCTGAGAACCTCCACGGTCGACAGTGCACGGAGAAGACCCTGCACGTCGGGATGGTTGTGTACGCTGTTCTTGAACGACAGCCCGACGCGAACGGCGTCGGTCAAATTGCATGAAGACAAAATGCTGAGGAGAAAAAGGGCATGGGACCAATCCCGACTTTGGTTGCGGCCATTCGCAACATGGACAGCCATGCTAGGATAGCGGGTACCAATTGGCTGGGCCTCTCGCTCTACCCGAAAATATTCGGTGGTAAAATCAATGTAGAGCGGCCAAGGGTTTGGTTTGTAGTGAACGAGCCAGCTTCCTGCATATCGCGAAAGCACCCGTGTGGCGAGGGAGATGTGGTCGGGCTGCATGGAGGCCTTGGGGGAGAACATAATCATATTTATGTTGCAACCTGGACTAGGAAAAAGGTGGTCCAGGAAGAAAGAAGCAGCAAAAATTGGAGAACATTCCAGCTTGATATCGGTGAGCGATGGCATTTGGACAGTAGGAAGCTGTTCTGAAGGGCTAGGGTTACGGATCCAGGAGATGGCCAGGGTTTGCAAACGCGAGCCCATATTGCCCAATGCATGGAGCCACTCAGAAATAGTTATTTCATAGGCACCTGAGCCTTCGACGTGAAGATGGGTAAGTTGGGAAACCCATGGCGACCACAAATTTATTTGGAGGAGTCGCCTCGACTTCATCCCTCGAAGCTGAGGTGCGTCGTTCCCAAAGAGTGCGGGCGCGCTTTCGGTATCTCGAAACGCCACGCCGTCAAAACCCCAATCACCGTCAACGAGACTGAAGTTGAAGTATTCGAGAGATTTTGCCGAAGTGAAAAGCACCTTCCAGTCGGTCTTTGAGGGCGAACATACTAGTGAATCTCGAATCGCCACGTCGAAAACCCGAATTCGAGACCAGTCGGTGTTGATGAGGGAAACGATGAACTTCCGCGACCGCGCACTGCGAATGGTACCTTGTACGGACAATGGTGCGGTCCCTGTACGCTTCATTATCTCTTGTACGCCATCTTCACTGATGTATTGCAGAACGTTGAGGTCGACAAGTCCGCCCCAGAGTGCAGGCGAAGCCAGAATGACGGCTCGCCACGCCCGACACACATGGGAGGTGGTACAAGTGACAGGTAGCGCTCGCTGATTCCAGTCCACGAAAGATGGCGGAAAAGTTTCATTCGAGTCGTTCTTGACGTTGGCATTCATATGGAAAATCGAGCACAAGATGTCTTGAGGAAGGACATCGATTGGACAGCCTGAGCCGCCTTCCCTGCTGGGTCGCACTTCATGTTCTGAATGGGAGGTCTCGTCAGGGAAAGAAGGCTCCAGTTGTGTAGGATCTTACCTTGAGGTGAGTGCATGTGTCGAGGAACTGCAGAGGAGAAAACTACCCAAGAAAATCTGAACTTTAACCACGTGATGTCCACGATGACGCGTTAGGCTAGGGGCGCTTCGCAATGTCATGTTGTCGAAGTAGTGGTATATGTAGATCGCAATATTGAAGGAAGTTATTTTAACAGTGTTCTCGTTTGCGTGCCTAAAATACCTCCATTTCATTCGCAAAGCAATGTTAATATACAAAGTTCGCAAAGCAGATCCGACCAAGGAAAGTATGCGAGTCCGAAAGGACATTGCAAACCCAGAGCCTGGAGAGGACCATGCCAAAGAGACACGAAACACCACGTTCTGGCCATGTCGTCAAGCCGAAGTCACAATTAGAAGTCGAAACTATCAAGCGGAACCGTAAGTCAAAATTCCAAGGAAGCAGGACGAGAGAACTCCGAGGATACGTACGACGTATTTCCCTTACAGCAGAAGGAAGGGTCGGCGCGATCATCCAGGCCATCCCAGTTCTTCAAAAGAACTCATAGCGAAGAACAATCGCCCATGCATGAACGACGGAATATAGTTCCGTCGAATCAAACGAGAGCAAGGAGATCATGCACAGCACAAAGCGGTAGGAAAGCCAACCATGTACAAGTCACGTCGGAACAGCTACTCCGTCCTCGCACCCCAAGGACAGACCGGCCACTCCAACGGAAGTAAGTACGTGGGCCAAGCTCCACACCGCTTCGTGCATTGACACAGTGGTAGCTGTGAGGTCGATGGGGACGGCTGGCACAGAGTGGGTGGTAGGAGGCCGACACGCGGTGAGTATTGATGAAGGAGGGCAGGCTAAGAGGAAATCCATGAAACCCTAGGGATAAGGGGGGAACGAAGAAACCGTTGTTGACGCGTGACGACGGATTCGCTCAAGCCTGACCTAGATGAGTATAATCGTCTGCAAGAAGCCACGGTGTGAAAAAGGGAAAATAAACAAGAAAAAGGGCTCGTACAACTGCTCGTGCGGCGAGAGCCTCGGGCATGGGTAAACGTGCGAGGTCGGCGTTGTCGAGGTCAACCTGGGCAATTTAAACGCTAGATCGTGTCCCGTTCTTATATTGCGTCTCATCACCCTCGTCGTGTCTACGCCACCGATACGATCTGGGATCACCCCCTCAGTTTGTGCCTGAGCTCGTGTTATCTGCTCGATGGACAAAGTATGACGGTGAGGACAGAGCAGAAAATCAAAGAAATGGGGCGAAGGGCGACAATACGGCGTCATTGGAGGAGAGGGCCGCGATACAGGATCAACACGTTTAACCACCAAAAGAACAAGAAATATGTCAGCGTTTTGAGAACGCGGCGTACTCGTAGAAACGCCAGAAAGGAGAGTTTGAATTCAGTTCGAGAGATTAAAAAGAAATGAACAAATGCAGACCCCCCCCCCCACAGGTAAAGAGTCTCGCCCTAAACCAACAAGAAAGTCGAGGCCAACATTTCCGGCGACATCCTAACAGGATCAGTCACTATTCGGAAAGATCTAGTCGCGTCGAACAAGTAGCGGACGCTGGATGGTATCAAGGCTCGCCCCGATCATGGTCTAAGGAAATCGAAGAAGGAACGCGACAGGAGGAGAAGAAGACGAGAGAAATTGAACGAGCTAGGGAAGAAAGGTGTCGTCCATCCATTGAGACGCGTGAGGGCATGGCATCGACATATCACGTCTCCAATCCTTCCCATAGAAGAGAACATCGGCAGATGCGGGCTACGAACCATCAATCGCTGTGGGCCCTTGAGGCGACCTTTAACATTGCATCGGACGAGATACGGACCTTGAGAAAAAGAGTCACCAAAAAAAAGGAAAAAGAGGGAGATGAACGACATCGATGTGAACATAAAAGTAGCACACGACTGGCCGCGTATGAAGTGTGTCGCTTCCGGCGCCTCAAGCTGGCTAAGCGGAGACACGGGAACAAGCCGCTGAACAACAACACCAGCCCCCCTCATGAGGCCTGGTAAAGGGTGTATGAAACGGGAACAGAGTCCCCGGGCGGGGATGGGAGAAAACATACCGAATCGATAAGAAGGGCTTTATAGGGCTTAGATTCAGGAGACAGAGGCAATCTCGAGTTGGTTCGCCGTTGATGAAATTGACGCGACAACGGTAGGGCCGGGAGTAGGTGGGGTGGCAGTAGAACAAGAAGAGTAGGAGATGAAGGCAACGTTGCAGCCGTGCAGCTTGAACGCATACAGAGTATGAGAAGCTTACAGCATAAATACTAATAGTTGGATAACCAGTTGCAGTGTAGCCAAACACGACAGGACAAGAGAAGGAGATGATGGGGGAAGGTTCGTGTCGACTAGACTAGCATGAAGAGGTCGGAGTTTACGTAATGACGGAGCTCGCCGATTGGCTATGGGCACTTTTCCGGCTATCGCCGTTGGAATTCCGACGCCTGCCCGATCTCGTCAACGCCCATTCGACATATGGTCGCATCCTCCAAGCGCCTGACTCGTGCTCAATTTCTCGACGGCGGGCTTCCGTTTGTCTCCACCGTGATTTTATTCGACACCGGACAGGGTCTTGTCAAAGATCTTCATAGCCTCATGCTTTCTCTTCCATCCGAATTTCGGGTCAGACCTGGGGCGAGGAGAATCTGAATTCTCCGGCTCTCACACGTATGTGCTGTTCTGGACGTCTCATACCTATCGGAGAGACCTCTCTTCAGAGCTCGTTCCATCGAATCTTCGCGTCTACCCGGTTAGAGCTAGCCAGCGCAATATTCTCTCGATTTCCACAGCCTACAATCTCTTCCTCGTGGCTTTTCTGGACCATCCTCTTCCGCTTCTAGTCTCGTCTCTTTGTCAGCTCCCATGCCCACGGGCTTAAAGCTTCAAGGAAGTTTAATGGACAAACGCGCATCTTCGACGGACTACGCGAGTCAACTCGGTGGGAAGGTTTATATGACAAACCGCCACCTCACGCTCGCTCACCTTTCCCCTTCGAAGGTGCGCGTTTTTCATCCGGCTTTTTGAAGTCCTATGGCGACCGTCTCCTTCTGGTCGTCGTATTCGTGTCTTAACCCTCTCGCTGGCAATCTCTAGGTCGCTATTGTATTTCTGCTGTTCGAGGCTGAAGGGGCATGTAAATCCCAATGACGATGTGAAGGGATCTGGCGTTTGCGTAGATAACGAAAGAGGTGGCAATCCTCCACCTTAATTCAAGTCCGCTCAGTGGATGCTAGGCAAATCTACACGAGCGTATCCCTAGGTGCGTTGCTATGTTTTTTTCTTTCCGAAGGCCTCTCTTTGCCGTGCTCTGTCGCGTGGTGCCTTTATGAAGTGCGTCATCGCTTCATCATTCTCGTCCTTTATGCTTTCATATATTTTCATTTTCATTTAGCTCGTTGACTCTGCCAGTTTTGGATATCACGTATACGACAAGAAGTTCGGCCTTCCGGACCCTTTATTCTTCAGAATGCGAATATTTCTTCTCGCGGTGTCATTCTGCGATCAACTAACAGTGCGTTTTGAGTTTTTCAAATTCATCACGACTGAATCAAATTCCCAACTCCTCGCCGAGACCGATGTACAGTGCACGGGTCGCCTCGAGGCCCGACTTTTCGGTACGTAACTGCATGGTCTTTCGAGCCTCCGATGAGAACCTTGATATTCTAACTGACGTTTAATAGACAAATGGAGCCGGAGGCGGAATACATGACCACCAGGTCGTAGAGCAGAACATCGGACTTTGAGGTGGGGTCAGGCTGTACGACTCCAAGGCGCTTCGTTGACAGCTCTCAGTGCGTATTCTATGATGAACAATGACGTCCTCTCAGCGCTGCGGCTGCAAAACGGTCGTTCTTTCTCCAACGCGTCGACTTTTCGCCGACGATGAGCATGATGCTTGGGTTTATTTTCGGGCTTCGTCTATCTTGACGTGCAGGTTGATCGGAATGGAAGCCCTCGGGATCGTCTCTCTATCCACGCTGTCGAAAATTAAATGTACGATCATTTTAACAGGGCTTCTTGACACTGTCAAAGCCTTTCCTTCTACGTGACAATGAGGCTGCTTGCTTTCAAGAGCCTTGATGACGACCCACGACCGCCGACTGCCCAAGGCCTATAGGCTACATCATCCGTCTCCCTATTCCTTTCGTCTATCCATTCGCACTCCACCACACATTTTCGCTCCACCTCGCGATGCCTTGCACCGAGCACGGTGGTATTATCTCTCTTAAACTTCCTCCTCATGACTTTGTCGACTCCACACCTCATCGCACGACGAGAGGAAAAACACGACACAAACACCGGTCAAAAAACGTATAAAAGGTGCGTCGTCTACGCTCATCATCCTCACTCGAACACTCCAGCGCGTTCAGTAACCCAGCTACAACAATCAACATGCAGTTCAAGCTCCTCGCTTCTACTCTGGCCCTCGCCGCCACCCTTGCTGCCGCCACACCGATCGCACCGAGCCAGTGCAACACGGGTCCCATCCAGTGCTGCAACAGCACTGGAACGACTAAGGACACTCCCATAGCGGCGCTCCTCGGCCTCCTTGGGGTCGTCGTTCAAGGTGTCGACGTCCTCATTGGTGTCACTTGCACCCCCATCAGCGTCATCGGTATTGGAGGAAACTCTTGGTAACATTCGCCTCGCTTGGTGATATATGAATGCTTATAGGATTGCCTTTCTTTAGCACTGCGCAGCCCGTCTGCTGCTCTAACAATTCGTTCAGTAAGCACTCGACCGCTATCCATCTACAACGCCCCTTCGTCTTTTAGATACTAACCGAATTATCGCAGACGGCGTCATTGCGATTGGTTGCACCCCGGTCAATATCAACTTGTAAATTCGTCAACCCATACGTCAACAGCTCGAGCGTCGCGATGGTTCCATCCCACCGATCTCCCGCGTTTTCTTTACGATCGCATTCAATCTGACGCTTCAATATGTAACTTTTTCTTCTGCGGACTTTTACGAAATGATCATATGTTTGTTGAAAACTGCCGATTGGCCACCGTTATGCAGGAATCGTCCTAATAAGCGTCCACAAATGAAACGAAAAGAGGTTTGGGCAATGTTATAGCAAAGACCGAAATCCTATCCATTCTCTGATAATTGAGGATTTTATTCGTGCCGGGGTTCGCTCCTATCCGAGTTTCCCACTTGGGAAATCCACATACCAAAAATGGTTTCATGGATAATAACCTTTACTCGGATACCCTTCCTGTATACTAGCGCAATTTCTCTAAGTCATGATTTTCGTCCACCACCTCGTAAGGCTACTCGCCCTTATTTCTTCATATGTGATTCACTTACTGCAGATTTTTTTGCAAATTAAGGAGTGTTTTTCCTCTTTTTCTCGAGGAGAAGAGTGAATCAATTAACAAAGACGAAGGATCATATAACTCGACTGCAACTATGAAAAGAATACAAATAGAAATTCGGGGCACTTCGGTCACCGCACCACCTCTAGAGCTATCCTGCCAAGCTCTAGAACCACCCTCCCACAGAAACTAGACGTAAATATCGACTGGTATAACCGTGACGTGCGGCGGTATAGAGAGGCTAGAGGTTGATGTTGACGGGGGTACAGCCGAGGGCGACAAGACCCTCTGCAGAAATGAATGAGCATGCGAAGACGAGCTCAGAGTCTCGGACGCGGGGATGAAGTGCTTACTGAACGAGTTGTTGGTGCAGCAGACCGGTTGGGCGGTGCTATAGCATATAATTAATTAGTCCCCAGTTGACTCGAGACAACCCAGAGAAAGAAACGCATACCAGGAGTTCCCTCCGACACCGATGACACTAATAGGGTCACAAGTAAGGCCCACAATGGCGGTGACGTCTTGGACGACGACACCGACAAGACCGAGGACCTTCGCGATGGAGGGGTCGCTGGCAGTCCCCGTGCTCTGGCAGCACTGAAGGCCACCCGTGTTGCACTGGCTCGCGGGGAGGTCTGTGGCGGCAGCAAGGCTGGCAGCAATGGCGAGAGCAGACGCAAGGAATTTGAATTGCATCGTGGTTGGTGCGGCTTGTGGTTGGTGCAGAGAATGAGGTACTGAACGCGAACGGGGTCGAGTGTTCGAGTGAGTTGTATGAGCGAGGATGGTAGGGGTTTTATAGGGTTCTGGGAGTCTTCTAGCCGATCTATTCTTTTGTCAGACAGAAGGTCACGGATACGTCGATCGCGACAATTATGGAAGAGGTAGCGAGAAGTCTGAAGAAGCCCCGTCCGTTGTGGGCGCATAAGCATCGAAGCACGGCAGAGTATATATGAGTGGAGAAAGCGGACCGACGAGCTGTCGGACGAGAGAAGACGAAACACCGGTAGAACGCGGACTGATTGTTTAGTGCTCACAGAAGATCCTGCTGGAACTTCTCGAAGTCGACGGTGGAGTTGGTGAATCATTTTCGCCCCAGACTAGTAGGGTTCTGTCTAAATTTTATGGATACTCAGCTATCGATAGCGCGAAACGTTCTACCTGGATGATTTCATGCTACTCGACACCAGAACATCCGGATGCCTCGCAAAATTCTTAGATTGCCCGTTCGACGACAGATGTGTCCATCCTGGATCATTTTCCCGTCGTGTAGAAACTATGAATGCTTCTCGAAGGCTGTTGACTGTGCCCGAATTTGATTATTGGGATAATAGAATATTTAATTTACCTTGAGCTTACTCTAAACACATTATCCTCAGCGCCCACAACGAGCTTGCTGGAGGGGGTCGAAAGCGTATGTAGGCATCGATTCAGCCTGATGCCCATACTGTAATACAGAGCATAGCTGATCACACCCTGAAACCCAGTCCCATCGTGTCACCATGTCTATGTCCCTAGAAATGACTCATTCAACAACTTGACGCGTCATATTTTCACCAACCCATAATTTTTTTGAACAGTGCTTAACCAGACTGACGCCCATGGATTGAAGTTTGACACCCGGTTCACCAATTCGATAGTGGACATGTACCAATGGGCGTTCGAACACTAATGTCGAAGCTGAAGCAGAGGAGACACCTTGGAGTCGGTGTCGATGCTCATTAATGAGGCCTCGAGGTCCTAGCCAACGAATTAAGGCTTAGGTTGGGTGGGCCACGCATAGGAACTTGAGGCTGGAGAGATGAAGGTGTCAGTGTTAAAGGGTCGGGCTGGCGAGAGATAGGTACTTAGGAAAGAACAAGAAAAAGAAGAAGAGAAGCAACGAAGAACAATCGAAGAACGAGGAAGGGGGTTGCAAACCTTGAGCTCCAAGATCAACGCGCATCTGCCGTCGTTCCAACCATCTGCCCAACGTCGCATTGTCGAACACCGCGCCGTCCTCGCTATCCGCGATCGTCATACAAGGCCAGACTTTCCTCCCGAAGGTCGACTGAGATGTGCCCTCGGTCGCAGTCCGACATGCGATGGCAAAACTCATACAGCTCCGCGGACCGCGACTCTCGCCGTCTTCTGCCCTCGCAACTTCCTAACCTCTTTCAGAATGGTGGCCTTCATTTGCACCAACATAATGATCGCGGAAATCGGAGCAATGTACGAGGATCGCGAGGCGCGATGTCTAATAGTAAGGTGTCCAGAAATGCTTGGAGACGCCGCAAATGTAGAAGCGGATCGATTACTTGGAGAGCGTCTGGTCCTCCGTCGCCGCCGTCAGTATCGATGTCGACAACTGTCGACAAAATGTCCTGGTCAACAGGGTTGCGTTGAGATTAAGGTGCAGTTTGGTTGGGCGGAAGATCTTGAACCTGAAAAGAGAAGTGTTAAGGTTCATTCCGACGGCAAAAGGCAAAAGTAGCGATGAATCGATGGGCATGCACGAGAAGAGAGTAGATGAGAAAGAAGCGAAGCGAGAAAGGAAGGCAAAAAAAAAGCAAAAAAGAGGAAAACGCGTCTGTATAGAGCCAAAAAGCGAACGAACAAAGGTACGACAAGGCGAGTTGCGGAGATGAGATGAGACAGGAAGTAGGGTAGAAGCAGATTGGGCAAACAACAACAAGGAAGGCACGAAGGAAAGGACATGCACGTACCGAAGCTCGTTAACTTCTGGCCACAGAAGAAAGCGCGTCTCGGGTCTCGGCGCAAAGCCATACCGTACCGTACCTCAGCCACTCTCCGTGTTCGAACCATCCGCCACCATTGACTCGATCGTCCTCCTTCATCGACTCATCTTCTCGCAGTCGACAATCCCCGCTGATCCAAGAGCTCGAACATCTGCTGATGCCACTTCAAGCTCGATGGTTGATCGATGAGCGGTTCGGGCCAACACCATGCTGATAGTGGAAGGACGATGGCGGGATCCAGGAGCCGGAAAGTAGGCATTTACGACGCAGCCGTCGTAGAGGGAAGTCTGACATAGCGATGTTGAACGTTGAGGATCGGCAGGAGGAAAGAAAAAGAGAAGCGATGTCAGAACGAATGATATCGAAGGCGAACAGAGAAGTGAGAGGAGACGAAGCAGGAATGAGCGACGAAGGGAGGTGATGGCCGTGTCGTCGCGAAATTAAGGCAGATGTTCGCCAAAACCGGAGGAAAGGGAGACGTACGTACCAGTGCGCCTGTGTGAACAGGGGTTGAAACAAGTCGTCTTGATGTCGAGACGCAACATCCGCCCCATACAGCTCCGATGACGCGCCCTATCCGACCTGCCAGCTCGGCCTCCATTCGAACCACCACCACCACCACCACCAGGGAAATCGGAGCGTTGAGCGAGACGAGACGGGGCTGGATTTTGCGTACTTGTAGCAGCCTCAAGGAAGAGGAAGGGTGCCGAAAGAGAAGTTCTCGATGCCAGTGAATAGCGGTGGATCAGCGATAGAAGAATGGTCTTCCAGCGTTAACGTCGCTGACGATATTCGTTCACAGAGTTGATGTTGAGGTCGGACGAGTGGAGGCGAAAGAACTTGAACCTGGAAATAGAGGAGCGTGAGAGCTCATGTTAACAAGAGTATAGGCAAAGACGAGAGAAGGAGCCAGAAGTCGGGGATAGGGTGGTGGGGGCAAAGGATAATAGTACTGACCGAACGAACACTTTAGCTGAGAGTATGGGGCTCGATGCGCTGGAGAAGCTCGCCATCGTTCCGTGCACGCTCCTCGACCCCTCAATCCAACGTCCCAGTGTTCTTGCTATCCCCGTGCAAGTCCAGACCCTCATCCGGGACGCATACATCCAACCACTCTGCCGCGGTCCGTTCGAGGGAAGGGGATGTACCAAACTCCAAAGAAGATAGTCTGACGGAAAGGCGTTGGACTGAGGCGTTGGGTACGGCGACTGGACCGCAGTGAGACCGGATTGTGGAGGAGGCGGAGCCAGCGGGGTTGGGTAGGACGCCCTTCGAAGAACACGGCAATGAAGGACGCTCTAGCGCCGCGCAACTGTCAAGATTCGTGACGAGAGAAACTAAAAAGGGTAGTCAGAATTGGTGCCATGAACGAATTGGAAGAGATGCTGCAGAAAGCGGGGTAGTGGCGAGCGTGATGAAGCTGAAGAAACGTACCAGCACCCATGAGTCCGAATTTCGACGCTCCAAGGCAGGCAGCCTATCATCGCTCCAACCACGGCCCGTACATCATAGCTCATCGACCCCTCGTTCTGCCCAATGTCGGTTCGTCGAACACGTTCTCCTATCACCGGCGTAGCTCGGGTCTTCCTCCCGAACGTCGACCGCCAAACGCCCACACAGCCGGGATATGTTTTCTGGAAGACGGATGTATCAAGTCCCAGGTCGAGGCGTCGAGGAGAGGACAACGTAGGGAGCTGAGAGACGAGAGTGAAGGACACGTGCGACTGCTAGACGGTGTTGGACATTTCATTGGTGGGTTGAGGAGCGGAGGGCAGGCTGGGTGTGCCGGACTGTTCCCCGGGGCCAACCCACGAGTAGCCCTGGCATTGACGGCGAATGCTTGACAAGCTTCGCAGGCAGAGAAGCTAAAATTGTGCAGTCAGAATTTGCTTTCATGAAACGAACAGAGGTCTTGATGGTTCAAACGACGAAGCGGCGGTGGAAAGTATCGTACAAGGGAGGTAAATGAGAAGGGTCAAGCGGATTTGCTTATCTGAAGCGTCGATATTCAATATTCAATGTCGGTGTCTTCCCCAACGCCGCCGGGCCATGTTGACGAGCTCATTTGGTCGGCGCGCGCGAAGGTCAACGACGACTAGGTACCACAAATAGCGCTGATACTTCTAGGCACAGCTTCAGAACGCGAAAGGTTCGAAGGAGCGAAGGAGAGTGCCAGAAACCATTGACGTCGACGAGAGTCTTGCTTGGATCAAGGAGTCCAAGGAGGGAGGCTTTGAATAACAAAATCAAGGAGAAGACGACGGAGTGGATGAATTACGCGAATTTGAGTACTGGGTTGTCGAGCAGCGAACATGGACGGTAAAGGCTCGTTGGCGTTGGGTGACGTGATCGAGATAAGATAAGATGTAACCACGTCACTGACGCGACAACAACGCGACGCGCACGCCCCCTTCTCCCTTTACGTACATACACGCATCCGAAAGGCCGAAAGGCCTCTGCAGCTGATTACAGTGAGCAAGTTCGTAACTTTTATCCCAAGCATGGTCACTAATCCTCACTAGGTAAGGCATGCGCTGCACCACTTGTACCAGACCGAGCAAGGACCGCGTCGAGAAGGTCAACGTCTCCGGTGAAGAATGCTCAACTCCCAATTCCTACCACGGCCCTTGTCAAGGATGCAGGGACATCTCCGAAGTAGATGTCCAAATCGCACAGGCGACGGCCCTCTTGTTAAACCTCCGTCTCAAACGGTGCGACGCCAAACGTCGGCGAAACCAACACCACGACCGGCTTGTCCGCCGGCTCCCTGTAGAGGTCATATCCCGCATCTTCGTCCATTGTCTTCCTCCGCAATCTCCTCTCTCTGGTGTCGGATACTTGGGGTACCTCGAATCCCGATGCCCAAAACAGCGTACGCAGCATCCTGGCCTAGTCGTGGCCGCCGTTTGCCAAAGCTGGCGACAAATCGCATTGGCGACGCCGCGTCTCTGGAGTGTAGCCGTCATGAAAATAGAAGAGAGTGACGTTGCGGCGCAGGCAGAGATGACGGCGGATTGGCTGGGGCGGTCGGGTGCCCTTCCCCTCTCGTTGGAAATCCGCCAAATAAAGCCTGACTCCTCCTCAATAAGCTACAGTCGCCGCATCCGGAAACCTATCGACCTTACGCCGATATTCGAGGCTGTCAGTGCCCATATATTGCGCTTGAAGAGGCTGGAAGTGCAGGTCGATGCAGAGCTCCTCGACCTCCTGCGTGGCGAAGCCCCGATGCTCCGCGAGCTTCACCTGGACGTGCGGAACAGGTACGGCAATAACGCAACTGTCTTCTCAGCAGAAACCATGCCAAATCCCCAAAGGGTCCTTCTTCGCTCCATCTCACCCAGCGCACTCAGGATCAAATTGGTCGGGAGTGACGTTCTTCGAAACTCTCTCGCTGTCGGTCGCTGAAGCTTTGCACCTTTTCGAGCAGACGCAGCAGTTGGTAGAGTGCAGGATCGCCGAAGTCAATGATCCATTCGTAGAGTTGCCAGACGAGACGCGACACATCACCCTCCCGTATCTAGAAACGCTTCTCCTCGACCAGGGACCCCTGAAGCAAAGTGGGCTTCTGAACCACTTGACCGCCCCCGTCCTGAAGACCCTCAAAACCGAGGCCCACCCGGACAGCATCTCCCAGTTTATTACACGTTCGAAATGTGGACTCGATCAACTTCTTATCAATGTCTTGGATGGAACGCCTGAAGACCTTATAGAGTTGTTCAAGACGACGCCATATCTCACCAACCTCAAGATCATGGAAGGCACCATTGCGGAAATGTTTTTCGAGCATCTAGCCCCGACATCGCTGATGGGGGATGGTCCCTCAGCAACCCCGGAGTTCTTGCCCCACCTCTGCGACGTCAGGTTGACTGGTGTCCCTTACTTCAAGTGGTCGTCCGTTCCCTGTATTTTCTCATCGAGAAAGGAGAACGGCGATCTTGTTCCTCGCCCGTTGAATTACCTGAGGCTCACACTCTCTTTCACGGACGAAGATGGCGGAACCCCACGTATCATTCCTGAAGATGTCAAATCACGCCTCAAAGACCTTCGAGCACAGAGTAAACTGACGATATATTCTGGATATTATGATATCCTGCGCGATTAATTGCATGTATTTCGCTATATTTACTGAATACTTGGGTATGTCATACACTTGTGGTATCTAGAGTACGTCCCATAGGGTTCTAGTCGAATAGTTAGCGGTTCTGTCTGGGCACGACCTTCTCCTTTTGTGACCTTAGAGGTATAAAGAATCTCAAACTCGATTTTGTGAAGAGTTGGTTCTTCGTGGTGGCCAAGGTCACTCCCGAACGCAGAACGTATCACCACCAACATGACGACGATGGAGGAGCTCACCCCCAACGATCACGCTGGGCCCCTCATATCCCCGAAGCTGGCCTATGTCAAGGTCAACTGGAAGGCTAAAATTGGATGCCCGGTCTCGACGTTCGGCTTGATGAAGTGTGAAGAACTCATCCCGTTGGCGGTGTTGGACGATGTCGTGGGGTTGAGAATTGTATGGACTTCTGAAAGTGGTGCTGTGGAAGAGTATTACCGCAGAGACGGCCAAGCTGATCTACTGGTGAATTGGAGTCGTAGATTGCATTTGGTATGTGGGTAGCCAAACGGAGATATCAGTGACCGCGAATATTATTCGCTTGTATATGATCATAGTTCGCTCGAGGAGATGTCCTTCATAAATACGATCATTTCCCTCCGCGTCTTCAATGTAAAGTCCTCAGTACAAGCCGCAAGCACTTTAAAAGCATGAGCATACCTCAAGTGAGACGAACCTATCTTCTCGCCTAAGAGACAATTTTGATCAAAATTGGAGGGAGCTGAACGTTGAACGTTGAGCATTCTTCCTCGAGGACAGAGTAAGTGGACAAGAATGAGATCTGTTCCTCGCATGATTGAATCGGACAACCTCGATGCGTTTAGGGTTTCTTGCCGGCTGCGTAGGAAGTAGTGTTTGCTTAGAGAACAGCGTCAGACGAAAGAGTATTTAATTTCAAGACTTGTTGGGATTCTTCCCTTCGAAATCGAGTAGGAAAACGGACTCTACATGCACATTGGCGTCACAAAGAATGGCTTACTCCTCTGTTCCCCTATCTACCTATGTACTTTCTGGAAGCCCACCACTCGCCTCTGTACTCCATGTCTCATGAACGAGCCGCTCCGCCTCCCCATCTCCGTACCGGTACTCATCCATATCACCGCTATCCGACGTCCACATAACTCTTAACCCCACGACACCATCCAACGCCGCCAGCGGAACGATTTCATCGCACTTGCTCAAGTCAAACGTCCGTACGGGATACCCAACCCTGGCTCTCTCCTCGAAGAACTGGGTGCATACTGACTCAATACATGCGTCACGAACCGCACTCCTAGCTCCGTCAGCGTTGGCAAGGCTATCGACTCTCACACAGCGCAGTTTCGGGAAGATGGGCCTGCCGCGGTGACCGACGTGGTTGTTTGGGGAGCCGGTGAGGACCTGCAGTGTCTTAATATCAGTGTTGAGGTATTCGACGTTCGGGAAGGATGTCAGGAGGAACTCCTGGACCTGATCACTGTTGGGATTCTCTGATGTGCGTGCTCTGGGCAAGATGAAGAACCTCAACCTCACTCAAAACACTCACGCAAGTACGTGGGGCATGAAAGACTTCGATTAGAATATAGAAATGGTGTCAGAATAGAAAGAAATAAAATAAATAAATGCTTCGTCGAAACGTCGCATCTAAGTGCCCAGGAGTGGTCTTCCTGCTCCCGAAACACTCAATCTCGAAGACAGGGACGGTCTTCCACTCCCTGAATCCGAAGTGCAAAGGGAATGGTCTTCCTTTTCCCCTAACACTCAAAACCGGAGCAGTGGTCTTCCTTCTGCTCAAAAACTCAAATCCTTGGGTGGTCTTCCTTCCCTTGGATCGCACTATCTCAGCGGTGGTCTTCCTTCCGCTGTGCTCATCGTTCTAGCTCGCTGGTGGTCTTCCTTCCAGCTTGCTCCTCTATCTCGTACTCTATCTCGTATAAATGTGTCTTAATCGTTTATTAAACCCCCGAACCCTCTTAGAAGTCAACCTGGGAGCTAACGAGCGTCCTAACGGACCGCCTCGCTTTGCTACCCACTCCCAACCTCGGGGAGGTGGCTGCTTGCCTTTCGTCGTCGTCGTTCTCGGGTTTTTATACTCAGGGACCCGGATATTCGGAATCTCGTCTTCCGGGCGTCTTACTCAGCTCGTAGGTGTCTAGAATATTCCACTAGGCTCGTCCGACCAATAGAATATCATTTACCTCATTATCTGAAGTCATCGCGACCTCTCTCGGGGCGTTTATCCATGTTGCACACCATAAATGGTGTTGCCATGTCTATATCTGGACCACGGAACAATAATGATCCGCTGGGCCCAGGGTTTCTGACTCAGCCTAGCTCTCTGACGGACTATGATTGATCTATTCATATGAGAAACACATGAATGCGGCACTCAAGCGCCAATACCGTGTGGTAGCGCTCGTTGTCACACATCACATCGAGGATTAAACCTCGTTATCTTATCTTATCAAAGAAATAGGAATTTTATTATCGAAAAATTCCCCGTCATATCATTTCGGTCGCCTTCGATGGTTTGCCAGGCTGATCACGCTTGAGCTTGAGCTCAAGGTTCGTCACCCTGGAGAAGTCGCACGACGAGAAGATGGTGCTGAGGTGGAAGGATTGGCTGAGGATTGATATGTAGCTCTGGGAGGACCGGAGGAAGGCAGGTGAGATGCCCGGTGGATGGTCCAGGTCAGAGAGATGGGGTGCCATCATGACCAAGCTCTGCTTAACTTGCAGAAGGTTGGGGTAATGAAATGCGGAGCCTGTCGTATGTGCTATTGTTGCAGAAGGCATTCATTGTGTACCGAGTGAGCACGTCGTTGAAGTGCTTTTTATCTGTTGCATCCTTGACTGGGGGGGATTGCCCCACATTAATTGTAGGCCGCATCCCCTGTCCGGAACAAGGGTCTCAAGGAGAATTATGGTAGCCCAAAGGATTGGAGTGAATGTGAGTTTGAGGTTGAGGAGGGACAGAAGACGAACGGCTGGGAAAGTTGTCGCTGTGATAGGTCATTCCTGTAGACATCAGGGACAAGGATTCCAGCCGCTGCATGATTTGCAAAGCGTCCAAGAGTGATCTGAAAGGAATCCAGTCGCAGACAACCTCCTGTAAACACAGACGGCGTATTTGGGCTAATGGGGACGGGGATCCGGAGATGGTTAGATCAAGGGGATCCGGAAGACAAGGCGACTCGAACACCTGGAGTCATGGTGTGTCATTGTTGAAGAGTCCAGGTCCGAAGCTCATGGGATTGACCCTGCTGATGGCCCATGTATAAGTACAGTGAAGCTGAACGACCGGAGGTTCGTGGCTGACCAGTAGAGTGGTTCCCAACCTGACGTGGATGGATTGGAGAACACCTTGTCGAGGATGGTGAGACAGAGATGTCTGACACGCTTCCAGGTTTTGTGCAGCAAGGTGATGATGAAGTTGTACGATTCGGCACAGTGCACCTGAGACAAATCCTCTGATTGAAAGAAGTGTGCTGCCTGTGCGCCGGCCTGAAGTTGCATTTATAATTATGTATGCACAACATCTTAATTAGTAATTGCCTAGCTGGAGTATACCCTAGGGCCATGGAGAAGGTGTGCGCACTTGTAATGCACAGCTGATGTAGGAAGATATCAATTGGGGAGTCTCCGATGTTGAGCTCTGCGGGATGTCATAACTGGCAGTATCAGACATTAGGGTGCTACAAAACTGAATCTAGGGTATCTTAATTTACGGTGCAAAACTAGCTGCGAGCCCCTAAACACATGAAGAAGGACTACACATGACGCGAAATCAGACCCACCAGGTTCGAATCGGAATCGGATAAGGCTTAGTTGAGCAATTGAGCGAACTTGAGCGCTTGAGCACTTGAGCACAATATTCAATGTGAACTGACACGTCGAATCCATCTCCAATGAAAGGCAAGTATTGTTGACATCTGACCGGTATAGGATTGCTACTAATCCTTTCCCTAGCACACACCCCGATCGATGACCTCCTCCCCGACATCCTCTGGTTAATATTCAACTTGAATGCCGAAAAACAGGAATACTCTGCCTCTACTGCACTAGCTAATACCATTTCCACCTCCCACATTTGCAGGTCATGGCGATCTCTCATTCTGGACTCTCCATCTCTGTGGGGAAGACTCATCAATGTCAGCTCACTCATGCGTCTCAGTGAAACTGGAAAGAACGAGATTATCAGACGCACAGGCGATGCACTCCTTTCTGTTGAAGGGCGTCTTCGGGACCATAAGTCATACACATTCATTGTCTCTCTGATCTCCACAGATTGGAAATGTATCCAACATTTCCATATAGCCATCTCGAAGAAACTGTTGACTGTTGCATCCCAGGCAGATTGGGCACCTGTTTACTCGCCAGCCAAGAATCTCCTGTCATTTAGCTTTATGGTCAACCTCAAATCAAATGCTGAGCAGGCCAATCCTATCATCTTGCAAAGTCAATTGTTTGGTAATAACACACCCAACCTCCATATCTTCGAGTTGTGTCTCCTTTTCGACTGTGACATCTCCGTGTTCCAGTCATTGTGCCGCTTATGCCTATATGAAATACATGGCAGAACAATCCCCCTTGGATCCCTATTGACCACTTTGGAACATATGCACCGATTGGAATCTTTAGACCTCAGGTCCATATGTGGCATGTCAGCATCTCAATCGGCCACCACCATGATGTCTTCCCCAGTCATCCGACTTCCGTCACTCCTCGATCTTCAAATGCTCTGCAGTCCCATCGCACGGGCAATACACTTTCTCGAACACCTTATTCCAGGCAGTGGATGTGCTGTGCGGATAAATTTATTGTCTGTCTTCCAAAATTTTAGAGAGACTGAGAGCTTCAACAACACGTTGGCCAGATATATAAAGAGTTGGTTGAATCATAACAACGATTGCCACATGCTTTATATTTCCCTTTCGGAACACCACCTATGGGTCCAGCAAGTGTCGCGCTATCATGACACACCTGGCAACTTTGCAATCAATTACAGCACCCCCATAGGCAGTGATGCAATCCTTGACAAATTTCTCTATCTTTTGCCAATCCTCTCCTCATGCAATTTGCCCAAAGTGACAAAGCTCAACCTTTTCCTTTGGAGAACCACCATATCCCTTCAGCAAATTCAATCTTTCTTTCAAACATCATTCCCGAATGTTGAATTCCTCGGCACCAATGCCCAGACATTGGAAACTCTCACCCAGACCAGTCGCAATGAGGCCACCTTATTCCCGAAGCTGACCTATGTTGACATTGTCCACCAGAGACCTTGTGATGATCAGGCCCAGAGTGACACAAAAATCAAGTTGATATGCAGTCTATTTTTGGAGCAGCGCGTCGACACCAGATTTCCAGTCTCAACCCTCGACCTGACAAAATGCAGACAGTACATCCCCTTGGTCACGTTGGAGAACATCCCAGGGTTGAGGATTATCCAGGGGTCCAACAATGGTGTGTGCGTAATGCAGGTCTGATGAACTAAATCCACAGAATTGTCAGGCATGGAGGATCGAGCGAGTTCGATGGGCTAAATGGGTGAAGTGTCAGTTCGAAATGAGGGGGAATGTTGAATGAACGAAAATGCTCTTCAAGTTAAATATATTCATTCATGAAAAACTCGATGACATCCATGTAGTAGGGTCCATAACTCGAGAGAACAGAAATCTGGACAACAAAGGCACAGAAATAAGCTCGCAAACGACAAGATGAAGGGATGTAGGAGATGATGAACAGCTGAGGCCCAAAACGTACAAGCTGAGACGAACATATACAGAGAACCGAGAAATAGAGACGAATAAGTGGTAAAACAACCTTAAGAAAACCCAATCGATCAAATTCTCATCGCTGTCACGACCCCCTCCAGTTGCACTCACCTAGAAATCCTTCCCTCTAATTTCCTCAACCCTATCCATCTATGTCTGACTGGCACCACCTTACAAGCATATCTGACTCAAACATCGACTCCGCAAACAGCTGATCCGCTGCCCAGGACCTCAAATGTGGACTCAGAACCCCTCGAAGTCGGTATCACCAAAAGAATGTGATGGCACAGGAACATGACGCTGGACTCTTCAACGGCGTCCAGACGTCCGTATGTGACACCTCAAGCAATGAAGGAGGTAAATAAGGACTTGGCAGCATCCATTATGAACAAAGGCACAATGGTCTTGCATGAAGGTGTAGGTGTAACGACAACGGGGTGTCCGCAGCGATCACACCTCAGATTCGTACAATCCTGGCCATCGAATGGAAGTCGACGATGTTGGAACTTCAGCTTTAGCTCAAGAACAGGATAGAACCACTCGAGCTCCAATGACAGCACTCCTATGTGATGCCATGGCCAACTTCGAACTATTGTACTCTGGTAGCAGCGCGAAGGAGGCGGTTAAGCCCCACATGGACTATGATCCAATGTTGATGATATTGATGAGTTGTTGGATCGTAGCAAAGGGGTCTTGGCATGCCAGCAAGATGATTTTGACGATAGGACAGGGGTGACGAGTACTGCCGTTGGATGTCTTCACTAGCACCATCAGGATTTGAACGAAGTAACTGTGATCAGACTTTGGGACTTGGCCCAGGTCGACAACCTGGGACATAATGAGAAACAAAGAAATTATCAGCACCATCGCTGACGAGAATGAACAACTGAACTGAAGAAGAAACATAAGTAGAGAGGTAGATAGAGGCTATTCAATCCCCGATGCAGAGAGAAGAAAGTGGGACAACAATCTGGATAGCATAGCCAATGAAAACAAAGAGAAGAACAGGACACGTACCTGCTGAATCATGAGCCTGCCCTTGCAGAGACTCAGTGAGATATCCATCTTCTATCCTCCGTTTACTCCCACCCCTCCTCTGCCATGGGCATGACACTGTTGTTCTTCGAGGCCTTCATGCTTCCATCTTCTCTGAAGCTGCCCCAACTGTTGACCATCAAAAAATGATGGATCAATTGAGCGCTTGAGCAGCCATTATGCTGGTGGCAGCGTCTGGGGACGAAGCCGGAATAAATTGTTGGCGCATTCTCGGTGCTGGAAGAGAGATTTGGTCAGCCAGAGGTGAGAAGGGTGGCGTTGGTGGTCATGGTGGGATTTATGTATGCGTTGTCTTTGAACAAGATAATGATGACATCGAGGATCTAATGGAAGGGAAAATGTCAGAATGGCCTTAGTGCAAAAGAGGAGAGGCAGCGAAAACAAAAATGAACGCAGAAACAATGAGAGAAGACGAAAGGATACAATCAAGGAAGGTAAGTAGAGGGGTTGCCTTACAAGATCGAAGCCAACGATAGAGCAACGAAAAAAGTACTCACTAAGGCAAACGTTCAAATATCGAGGTCCGATATTGGTGCTACATCACACTCTCCTCCTTTCTCTCCATCTGCCCTCATACCACCATCAATTCGCATCCTTGCTTAATAAAGAGGAGGGTTGAATCAGAATTTGTCAATCATCGCGAAGCCCAGCTGGTGGTGAGTAGCTGAAAAAGATCGGTGTTGAATCCTAGAATAGGCCTAGGGCTACGACTCGTGAGGCTTGAAGAGTGATCTTCCTGCATCAACATCGATAACAGCAATGTAGAGAGTTCATGTTGGGGCAGGCTATGCGTACACGTAAAGGCTCGTAACTAAAGGAGGGCAGAGTCTTAGAACTAGTGTCGACGAGAATTTTGGCAGAGCGCATGTACCAGCTCAAAACTCAGAAGATTGCACTCCATCTGCCATTCCCTGCCTCTCGGCTGCTTTAATCCTTCTTCGCCAGTGCCCAACACCGCCAGCATGGAATCAGAGTCGTCCCGCTCGGAAGATGATTTTGTGCGATATGCTGAGCCTCACGCTGTGGCGCAGAAGGAAGGAAAATGCCTTGAGAAGAGGTTGAAGTTGTGTATTGGTCCTTCGATTGTGTTGGATGTCCTTCTGGTGGGCTATTGATCTGTGCACAGAGTTGGTCTGGCGAGGTGAGGTGGGAGGTGCGTGGATGGGTGCTCATGCCCAGTTCAACTAGGATTCAGGAGGAATGGACCTAGACCTGAAATCGTACAATCAGCACCATTCCCATGAGATGGAAAAGCGGAGGGCTGAAAGAATTGGGTAGAGGGTGCAACTTCGCCTGCGGTGCTCCGTCAGTATGAGGGCGAAGAATTGACGGCTAGGACCAGGTTGGGTAGAACAGAGGAAGACATATACCAACAAAATTCTAGCGGGTTACCATCGAGAAAACCTCGTAGAATAGGCTGCAGGATACCCCTATTAAGGGAACTAATGTCAGAAGGCAAGAGAAAATTATGGAGCGCCGTACTGGACAAAAATAAATGGGTTGATTTTTTGACCTGAAATTCTTCATGAATCACAAGGATTCTGTCTGATTCTGTCTGATTCCATAAGAATCTCCACTAATTAAGACAAATTCTCCTACTCACGAAACAAATCACATCCGTGAAGGAAGATTCAATGAGATTCAGTCTGTTTCTGGCGGAATCCAGCAGAATCTTGCAGAGCAAATCTTTTCACTTCTCGCTGTGCAGTCAGATTCCTAGCAATTCTGAGTGAAAAAAAAGTAAAACACACTGTTTCTCAAAGTCTGAATTTAAGTGCATGTGAGAGGATTCTGGTAAATTCTGTCAGAATCGTGGTGAACGCTTTGCTTTAATTTTGGGTATTATGACTGCTCTTTCCTTCTTCAGATAGGAATCTGCCAGAAGGGCACAACTATACTGTTCATGCGAGTCTACATATGTTTCCTTTGTCATATTTGATTGAAACCATTGGCCCACCTTATCTCATTCTCCACCTCAGGTCCATCCGAGGGCCCAGCAGCCACTATGAACACAAGGAGCAGGTGTACCTGCCTGTTGTCCTGCTCTCTATTCCAACTGTAATCCCATCTCCTGTGGTTCCCCTGAGCAGACATTCAACTGGCGAATTGATGATCTGGCTGCCACTCTTTTCACCTTCTGATCATATTCATAGGCAGCGAAGACGCGAAGAGCTCAAAGTTCCCACGAATAGGCGCCGAATAAGCGCTGCAGTCAAGAGTGCCTAGTGTGACAACCAGACCGTGTATTGACTCAAAATAAAATTTGACATGGAGATTACATCCAAAAGGGCCTCAGAAACCAAGTGGTTTCGGAGGAATGAACCCAGGCAAAAGTAGGGGTTCAATCTTCCTTGAGTAACCCCTCAGTCAATGAGAGAGTCTGAGAGGCTCACTCACAAAGACTGACTTTGTCCTTTTTTCTTTTTTTGGGGGAAGATGATATGGCTGGGAACTTTTCTATAATGATGGATGCCAGAATTTCAATTTGACGACAGCGCGATCACCCAAACATGACAGCAACACGTAAAGATCATGTACATGGGCATGGGCACACTTCGGGCTGAATCTGTCAGAATACAGCTCAAGAAAAGGAAAAACAATGCTATCCACCAAAGAAAGTGCAAGCCTTGTAGGCAGAATCTGCCAGAATCTATGAGAATCTATGAGAATGATAAATGCATTGCATTGCAAGACAGGGGTACAAATCTATAAGAAACGTAATGATTATGCCCGCATCTGCACTCTGTGTGATTCTTTACAAAGCCGAGCAAAAAAAGTACCTCTCGTTTCTGACAGATTCTCACAGAATCAGCCACAATCAGCTGGAAATGTGAGGATTCTTACCCATTCTGGCAGATTCTCACAGATCTTGCCTGAAGTACTCTAGCCGAGCTCAAAAAAAATCAATCCATGATTTTTGTCCAGAACGGACCATCATAGAAAATGGAACAAAGGGCAGCTTACCCACAGTGGCGCTCTGAGGAGTCTCAAAGGACACAAACCATTTCGGCATCCATGTTACTGCGTTTGAAAGAGGAATAGGCAGTATAATTTATAGAGGAGGCCAAATCGTATTTTTTAGCCACAGAAGCGACGATTTGGAAACAAATTGCACTGGTAGTTGTCGAGGTAAGGTGAAGGTGAACGGTGGCTCAACCACCATCACGTGCACAGCCAAATTTGGCCCGCTTTCATAACGTTCGAGTTTTGTCTCTTAACAGTTGTCCATGACAACAGATCCAACGGTCTTTAGCAGAAGAGACACCAAAGGTGAGTGTTATTTTAAATAACTTAGTTATGTCTGAAATATGGCCTCTTACATCCAGAAGCGCAGATATGATCAAAGATACCAGCATTGACATCTCCGGTGAAGAATGCTCAAATTCCAAGTCCCCCCACGGTCCTTGTCAAGGGTGTATGGAACTCCACAAAATAGACATCCAGCTTGCACCAGGAAGGGCGTTTATATCGAGCCTCTATCTCAAACGATGTGATGCCAAACTTAAGCGGAACCAACACCACGACCGACTCGTCTGACGCCTCCCAGTAGAGGTCGTATCGCAAATCTTCGTTGATTGTCTCCCTCCTGAGTCTCCGCACTCCATTCCAGAACACGACATGTATCCTGACCAAGAAATACGGCCGCAGCGCAAGAAACCAACCCCTCTAGTCCTTGCTGTGGTCTGCCAACAGTGGCGACAAATCGTGTTGGCGACCCCAAGGCTTTGGACTGTTGCGAGCATAAAAATAGCGAAGAGGGCTGTCAAACCATGTGCACAAATGACACAAGAATGGCTGCGTCGGTCAGGACGCCTCCCGCTCTCGCTGGAGATCTATGAAGAAAAGCCACGCCCAACATTCATGTCCTACATCAACCAGCGTTCCGCTGTTGATCCTACGCCAATATTTGAGGCAGTTAATGCCCATATGCATCATGTGAGGAGTCTTGAAGTCCACTTCGACATGAAGTGCCTCCCCTTCCTACGTGGCGAAGCTTGGACCATGCGCAACCTCTACCTATCAATCACAGGCGGTCAAGGTGGCCCCCCGCCAGCTTTCGTCTAGCAGATACCTCACCAAGTCCACAAAGAGTCCTGCTCTGCAACATATCCTATAGGGCGATCAAGGTCGATTGGGCAGGAGTGACATATTTCAAAACGCTCGCAGTGCCTTTCACTGAACGCTTGGAGCTTCTCCAACATTCACCCATGTTGGAAGAATGCAGAATTGGCTACATCTCAGGTGCTTCAGATGTACTGCCCACCCCTCACCAGATCACCCTTCCGTTGCTGAAAACCCTCATCCTCGCTCAAGTACCAGGCCAGGAGGAACTTCTCAGTCTCCTCGTCTCTCCCTCCTTGGAAACCCTTTCAAGTAGGGCCAGCCTGTGTATTCTCTCCTCCTTTATCACTCGTTCAAAATGTGAACTCCACCACCTGGATGTCGACGCTTTGGATGGAACACCCGAGGAATTCATAGGGCTACTCGAGAAAACACCCTATCTTATCAAGCTCGAGGCATCGGATTGTGACATACAAGAGGCATTCTTCGAACGTCTAGCTGTGATGTCACTAATGAAGGACGGTGCCACAGTTTCGGAGGCATTCCTACCCCTCCTATGCATGCTCTGTTTGACCGGATCCCCGTACTTCAAGTGGTCCTCTATCCCTTCGATATTTTTGCTGAAGCACGAGGGCAATGATTTCATTACTTGCCCCTTGTATTTCCTAGAGCTCACTCTATTCTTCTATCCTGAAGGCTCTGAAGAGTTCGTTGGCCAAACCCCAGATGTGATTGACGCAGATGTCAAGGAACGCCTCCTAGTCCTCCAAGCCGACGGGAAAGAGATACACATCATTTCTGGCATGGACAACAGTTCCCTTCTTTAGTCGTTTCCTGTATTCATTCTTTGAGCAGCAGACAGAAGCACTCCTTGCGGTCATAGATGTCAATTGTATGTAATTTCATCGCCTGTACGAACATCACATTGTTTCCTCTGTTCTTGAATTCCCGGTCAGATCTTCCTGGCTTCGTACTTCATCTTGTGCTTCTTGAGAAAGTTCAGTAGAGTGACGTCTTTATATGCGCGAATGCTCTCGCGATAAGCTCTGGCTGATTGCTCTGCCCTAAAGTGATTCACAATCATGTCCAATGAGCAAGCTCAATATCGGACAGAGGAAGAGTTGGGACTGGGACACGTACGCCTCCTTCAGTTCTAAATATTTGTTGTAATCCTTATCGCTGATATCGCCTTTCTCGTACAGGACCGCGATATTTTGCAAAGCCTGTTCCATCAGTTCGGTTTGTGTCTCATTTCGAGCGGACGAGCTGGCGGAAAGATTGGTGGTTGAGGCAGTAACACTAGCTGGGCCTCCAGCCATGCTCGAGGTGGTTTCTACCATGAGTGCGGTGGGGGAGGAGAAAGGTAGAAGCACAGCCTCCCCTGCTCACCGCAGTAAAATACGAGGCCGTTCCAGAGCACTTTAGGCATGCAATACGTTCGCTGTCGCCGCATAATATTCTAAGTGAGCATCCCCCAGTTCGATTGGATTGTCGTACTTACGCACAGCGTCGGAAATAGAGCGAAGATCCAACCCAAAGGGGAGAAATGGGGTGATACAATCCCTAGAAAGGAGCTCCAGAAGCCTGGTCTGCTCCTCATTGCACATGCGACGTGCAAGAATTCAAGCTCGATGGTGCGGGGTAGGCGCTGCGTTTAGGCGCCAGTCTCGGGGCGAGCTCGTGTAGGAGACCGGAATTCGATTTTGGGGCGGTTGGACCGTCTGATGAGGGTGGGCAGCAATCGTGGAAGTGCCTTCAATAAAAACCGGAAAGGATACGCCGCCCACGTCTAACTCTTCCCCTGAGTCACGTCCCCCATTAACGCCCATCACACCACATGGATTTTGGCGTTCGCCGCAAACACATTTTCCTAAAATTTCCTTTCCGGGAAGATGTGGCACGCAGGCCCCTTTGTTCGTGTGTTTCCTGCTAGGGCTATTGCCCACACCCGCGGACCCGGCTCGGGCCACAGAATAAAAAGCAAAAAGAAAGAGGAATTAAAACTCCGCTCACAGTCACACTGCGCTCGGTTAGCGTTTTCTTTCTTCAGCTACAACCACGACCACCACAATCCGTGGAGCCCTTTGCCTTTAGCAAACCCTTTCAGCCATCAGCCACCAGCCACCAGTGTTCAGAACTCATACCTTTCACATTCCCCCCACATATACTAGCAGAGATGCAGTATAATACCACTTCCGCTTCTTCTTCGCCCGCCGCCACCTCTGCCACCGCCACTCATAACTACTTCAGCGGCGCTGTCGACATCAATGGGTTCAATATCCCGCAGGTTCCGCTCGCCGGACCAAGCCACCAACCGATCAGCAGTTCCCAAGTTCCAAAGATCCCAGGTTTGCTCTCCCGAGCTAAGGGTGAGCCCCTCTGAGCTCTTATGGTCATCGATACTGACAATCGGATGCTCACTTTAGCATGCCAGGGCGAAGGGTCCCTCTCAAACCTGCAAGAACGACCAATTACGTTCTCCAGCGGGATCCATTGATGAGGCGGAGGTCTCTGAACACGCCCCTTCTTCTCCTCTTCCCACTCCCCAACAATTCAAAGTGGCATGTTCTGTGGCTCCATCACCCACACCCACGACACTACCACACATTCACAAAGACGTTGAGCACCTCCACGCTCTCGAGGCCGAACAAGCGGAAGAGATCAGGACGCTCACGAAGGAGGTCCTAGCAGAGGCATTCACAATATGTCTACCAACACCAGGAGACCTCGCCAGCCACTATTGCTGCCAGATCGCGAAGCTTCTGGGAGAGGGAGTGGTGAGTCGCATTAGTGAGGACGCGGAAGAGTTGAGGGAGACAGGGAAGCTCCCAGTGCGTACCCTATCATGGGATGCAAGATATCTAGAGCCAAGGTAAGTACGTCAGCACTCCTCTAGATTATCGCCTATGGCGCTGACGATCAATAATACACAGACAATTTCGCGCTGCCACGGCGGTCTCAACGCCGAAGAGGTCGATCATCCCACCACCACCGCCATCGACCATTCCGTCGAGGAAGTGCCCACGAGCTGAGGACAGCTACGACGACATCCTCGAGGTCGAGAACTCGCTTTCGCTTTCGAGGGACCTCTCGACCAGCACAATCTCATCGTCGACTGGAACGTCTCCTGCCACCAAAAGGCCACGTCTCGAGTCGTGGGTGCCGACCATCGATGAGGACAAGGACCAGGACGACGCGATGCTCGGCCTCATCTGGAGTCGTTACTTCCAGTCAGCCGAGGAGAGCGACGGCGAATACACAGCACCTGACATGGAGATGGAAGGAAACAACGATAACAGCGACTCGGAGGGCGAGTCAGACGACCTCTCCATCCTCGCCCTCACTCGTAGATTCCCAGACAACCTCTTGGGCTTCATCAAAGAAGCCACACTCTACGAGGCAAACCGTCTAGCAGAGGAGGGAACTACAAACCAATCTCCCAACCCACCTCCCAACGTCGACCCTTTCCCGATACACTCCTTTGGCACCGCCGCCGAGCGCCCGCCCGTCCCTCTGCCCCGCCCTGTCCCACAAGCACCTCGCCGCCTCCATCGCTCCAACGAGCGCATCACGATTGACGAGAATGGCGTGGTCACGGCATTTGACTATACACAGACTGAAGCGTACGCAGCTCGCGTGGCCTGGGAGAGGCATCTGTTCATCGTGCACGAGCGGTTGGGCCGCAGAGGGCCCTGCGACCTCGCAGCGGATCTGCGGGAGATCGCGCAAGTGGGGCCGGGCGGGCAGTTTCTCGACTGCCATCGGTGGCGGTATCGGTTTGATGAGCAGGCGTGGAGGAGCTTCGAGGTACCGTCGTAGATGTCGGAGGAGGGAAAGGTGAGTTGAGAGGGCGTTCGTTGATGGTGTAGGGGTCAGAAATGTTCCTTTGTTCTCGTTCCTTTTTTATCTTATCTGTCTCTCGTCATCTCATCATCTCGGACTTGTATTTTTATTACGGACTTCGTTCTCGCATCGTCTCGCTCTGCCCTTTTGCGTACCCTATTTATCGGTTCTGAATATTATCAGCGCCTGCTGTTCTCGGTTTTCGCATAGACAACGAAGTGAAGTATCTTCAAACGACAAAGAAGAGTGAATAAAAGCGTCGAGTACCTAAATTTCCAAGGACCAGAATTCGAGAGCCCTACAAGCCACTTTTTCTTCCTTTCTGAGCCTATAGAGAAGGTGAAAAGGGCGGCTCTTCATTCTAATGCATATCACGAGCAACTCACTCCCGGCAACATAAAAGTCAAGCTTATGAATTCGGACCTGACTCGAGCTTGAACGAATCAAAAGAAAAAAAGATCTGTATCCCCCTTAACGTTGCTGAGAGCAACAGACTCACGGTCTTAGATACGGTACAGCCATAATGAAATCATCGCTTGTATGCTTGAAGGTCCTCTGCGGCGAAATTGGGCGAAGTAGTACGAGAAGAGAGGGAGAGGAGAGTAAGGAAGGGGTTAAATTTACAGGAACAAGCGCATACGCAGATACAGAAATGTGATTCAATCCGGCTCCATCGTTGGATGGCGCTGTGTAGCTGAATACAAGTTCCCCGCCGTCACAGCACCATCCTGAGTTATAATGACCAGAATAAATGCAATAAATGCAGACAGCGACCGAGTAACTCTATCCTTCCCTGATTTTCTCACTCAGAGCCATTCATTCCGAATTCAGGCTCGAGACGAGATGGCAGAGGTACGTGAGCGAGTGCTCGATCTAGAAATATTTTCCCAATTAGGAATTATTGAAAGGTAATGCGATGCCACGTTGGGCGCAGACAGCTATGCCCCTATCGTCTATTCTTCATTGTCCAGCGCCGGCGACGTCTCGAAAAGACAACGATGCGCTTTACTTTACCTTTCCTGGCCTTCTTGGGCCACTCGGCATTATTGTTCTCCGCCTCTCTGCAGAATTGTGGCCGTGCGCTTGGACGTTGTCCTATTTTGGTTACAGCGCAAGCGTTGCTCGGCCACTTATGGCCCAAGTGGCACTCCCGTGGGGTATTTAAGGGCTGGTTCAGATCGTACATTCTTCAGTCTCCCTTCCTTCCCCTCTTTCTCCCTTCGTCTTGTTTTCTCTATTCTCTCCCGCCTCCCCACCTCATGAAATCACAGCCTTCCGCGAGCCTGGTGCGACTAGATTCTGTTCTGCCGGACCTGTAGATACCGTGCCCATGTGATGGGCGCTGGGTCGCAGTCCGCCATCACAGCAATCTCAGAAGCGCCAGACTCATTGCGGGTGTGGTTTTTGCGAGTCACTGAGGCCGTTCTCATTATTTTGTATGGTTCATGTTTCCCATCATGCGTGGATGTCTTCGACATCCTCACGAACTCACAGCCTTCCGCGAGCCTGGTGCGACTGGAATGTGTTCTGCCGGACCCGTAGATACCGTGGCCAACTAATGGGCGCTGGATCGCGGTCCGCCATCACAGCAATCTCAGAAGCGCCAGACTCATCTCGGGCGTGGTTTCGTGTCAGTTGGCGAGGCCTTGCGACGGAGCTGCTTCCTTAGTGTTTGTGTAAGTATCCTTTCCTAATCATCTCTCTTCTCCCTTGGCTCTTCGTCTTTTCTCCTCTGTCCTCTCCCTCCCCCATACATGCACCTGAAACCGCAGCCTTCCGCGAGCGTGGTGCGACTAGAATGTGTCCTGCCGGACCCGCAGATACCATGCCCAGTTTATGGGCACCGGATCGCGGTCCGCCATCACAGCAATCTCAGAAGCGCCAGACTCATTGCAGGCGTGGTTTCGTGAGAGTCACTGGGGCCGTACATACGACGGACGTGTCTGATTAGTTTCAGCATGGTCTTATGAAATTTGAATTCGGGTTCGATTTCACGCAACGATGAATCTGAATCGACTGACCAGTAGTGGGGTCTTTCCTTCCACGAATTACAGTTTTAGTCAAGCTATCGGTTACTTGAAAGGCGTTGAACGAGTCGTAATCGCGACCCAATGTCTTATATTTACGTTCCTGCCTTCATAATTCAACTTTATTTATTACTTTATCGACGTGCACAGTTGTTCGCACTAGAATGTACTTCTACGTGTCGACCAACCAAGCCCCATACCCCAATTCCCGTGCCCGTCATTAAACTTTCGCTGATACCCTACGACCAATGCATACGATGACCCAGTCGGAGGGTGGAGGTAAACCCCCCCTCCCCCCTTGATTAAATAGACTTTGAGAAAACGAACGTAATAGCACTCTCGAGTCCCAAATCGAATGCGAATGTGCACCTCGGCATGCCAGCCCAAGACCGGTACCGCAACAAAGCGAAAACTAGAGGAGAAAAGAGAAAATTCCTTCCTTCCTAAGTACAAAAACACCTAAGTAATCCACCCAATCTGAACCTGTCCATAGGAAAGTGAGGGTGACGCGGTGACGCGGTGAGCAGCCAGAGACTGAGGAAGGGTTCGGTCAGTTTCGGTCTGCGACTCGAGGAGGGAGGAACTTGTAAGGCGGAGCGAGTGGCACGAAGAGGGATTCGGAAGGAGCTCCTTGTCTTGTTTGGAGTGCGTATACATTTCGACCTCGACCTCGACCTCGAGTTATGCCTCTACTCTATTCACTCTACTAGAGGTGCCGACTACCCAACCAACCAACCAACCAACGCCCCCTCCGTCCCTCCTTTCGCGCCCTATACGAGCACGAGCACGAGCGCGAGCGCGAAACCTAGATTCCGGATTTGTATTCGTGCAATGGCAATGGCAATGGCAATGGAAGAGGGGAAATGGAGAAAATGGAGGAAATGACAGTAACAGTGAGGAAAGCAATGAGAAATGAGGAAAGCAATGAGAAATGAGGAAGTAAGAAAGAAAAGGGAAGAGCGGGGGGCCGCCGCGGAGGCTCCGCTCCGCTCGCGAGAGGACTGGAAGAGGAAATTGAAAGGACGGGAGAGGTAGAGGAAAAGGAGGAAACCGAAAAGGATGGGTGCATGTGGGTTGTGTCGTCGTCGCCGACAGGGAGATAGTGACGACGATGCTCGACACCAGCCAACCAAGACTGAAGAGACGGCGGATGATAGGCGTCGAGCCTGACCTAGAGTACACCCTCGTTCTACAGTCTATAGAGCTCACGAAGCCGGTCCCGCCCAATGCCCATCATCCATGAATGAAGATCGAAGAGGGAACCATTGCGGCCCGCTATATATAGAGTAGCTATAACACCAAACACCAAACCTCCGATCTCAACCTATGTATGTAGGACCCAAGACAGTGGACACCCGACCAACCGATTAACGTCCTGAATGGGTTGAGTATCGCGATGCCAAACAGAAAATGGTGAACGTCTTGACGAGTGGCTATGGTAGGTAGCACCCGATTCCCAAGTATCTCCAGAGCGGGCGACGCGGGATGAGGGCGGACGTCCCAGCTTGAGGGCGAATGTGAAAGCGGACGCTCCAATTCAAGAACCAGTATTCAATATTAAATAGTGAGCCCTTGAGCCTCGAGCCTCCCAAGACTAAGCCTGCACAGAAGCAGACCGCTCAGACCCCCAAACCAAAACCAAAACCAAAACCAAAACCAAACCAAAAACCAAAAGAGAGCCACTCAACGGCACCCGAACCGTCCACTTCAACGTTTAGTTTCGATTCAACACCGCTGCAAGGAATTAATCTCCCAAGATCCGCTAGCCAAACCGACCCACGCGGGGTCTACATAGCTTCCGAAGCCGCGCAGGATCGATATCCAGCCTCCAAAGCCACGCAGGATCCAACCTTCAAAGCCACGCAGGATTCCAACTTCGAGCAAACGGGGATCGTAGGACTCCCAAGTCCCAAGTCGAATGCGCACCCCGACCTGCTAGCGCAGTAACGAGACTACAAACCGCCGTTAGAGACCGCCAACGCTCCTCCGTATCCAAACCACTCCAACGCCGGACGTCGAACTACCGAGTCGACGGCTGGCATCTGTCCGCCCTCTCCAGCCCTAGAACTTCCGATGCTAGCCTAGCCTAGCGTTGAGAAGGCAGCACGAAAATCTCGAATCGCAATGAAGCGAAAACGAAAAGAAACAGGAGAAGAACGAATCCGAAAAGAGAAGAAGACGAGGCCGAAACTCACCATATCAACCAAGCGAACCACTCAAGGGCGTCCAGCTGTCCACAGTAAGATGGGGGTGATGGCATGAGGATTCAGAGACCTAGGAGGGGGGAAGGGTGGGTCAGCGAGGTCTGGGACGCGAGGAAGGGAGGCGAGGGGGAAGGAGTGCGGAGGGGTTAGGGAAGGAGAGGGGGCGGGTCAGCAAGGTCTGGGACTCGAGGATGGGAAGCAAGGAGGAAAGGAGTGTTTAAGACGATAAGAGAAGAGTTGGGGGAAGAACGGGAAGGAGGGAAGGAGGGAAGGAGGGCGGGAAGAAGGGACGGGAGAAGGGACGGGGGGAGATGGGGAGAGGGCGGAAGAAAGCGACACGATCTCGGAGACGGTTTGGTGCTATATGATGTACTCCGCGATGAGCCAGGGGGGCTGATATTCATGGGAGAGGAGGATGAGGTCGGTGGAAGGACCCAGGTCGGGAGAGGGTGCGAGGGTACACCGAGGGATGTAGGTACGGAAGTCGAATGAGGAGAGGGGGTGGGTGGGTGAGAGGACCAGAGGGCGGAGGGCGGACGTGGTATGGGAGGGACGAACTCGAAGCGAAGAACACGCACGCACCTCATGCGCCGTGAGCGCGCACGACCAATGTCTCAGTCGAACGTCACGGACCGGATTCCCTCCTCAAACATCCTCTGCTAACCCATGCCTAGGACTCAAGAGCCCAACCTAAAGCTGAAATCCGCGCGTCATGTTCATGCAGAGCGGACAGCCCGGGCGGCGCTTAAACGACTGCTGTTGAACATGGTTGAGTTTCGTGAGCTGCGAGTTTGCCAAGGAAAGGAAGGGAGGGGGTTGAAGCAGGAGGTGGTGTTGTTGACGGAAAGGCGCTTTGGTGTGTGGCACTGGAAGAAGCGGAGGGGAGAATCTTAGTGGACGGGAGTGAGCTAGAGACGCGTAGCGCTGGCTGGTACGCGATAACGTCGATAAGATAAGATGAGGCTATCCCACGCAACACACGTGACACACGAGCCCTTCTTTGACTCTAACCACACGCGTTACCTCTCTGTCACTGCGCCTCCCCTCCCCCCTGCCCCCTCACCAGCCCGATTGCTAACGAACTGTCCACTGTCTTCCGTACCTTCTCCCATATATATACATACCCTCCTAGCTCACGCCCGCACGCGTTCCTGGCTCATCTAATGCCAACACCGCGCCTCAGATGAACATATCTCCTCCTCCTCCTCCGTACTTTCTCCTGTCAGTGTACCGCCATTCTCCAGTGGGGCCCTCGTCACCACGTCGCGTCTGATGATCTTGGCTTGTAATGCTCGCAGAGTCCTCCGTGCTGGAGTGACATCCATGATACTTATGATCCGCCCTTCCTCGTCGGTCTCATCCTGCATTCACTCCGGGTCTCCGACGTCCGTCAAAAGTGCAGCATCGGGACAGCTAATTATTTGGCCGAGGATCTTTGCAGCCCAAACCACCGACTCGAGCTCGCTAGATGCCATTTAGCTCCGCGTGTTGTTAGTTTGTACTGTTGTACTTGCATACCAAGGGGATCAAGCGGTACGCTCTCCACTTCTTCTTTTCCGCTCGCATTTTTGACTCTTTTTCTTAGAGATTCCGGACACACTTTCGAAGTCGGATTCAATATATATCTTGCTTATAAGGTCGCCACGGCCAGGGGTGCGCCAGAAACCTGAAGGATGATCAAGCTCAAGGTGCATCCGGGGTGGGCGAAGGCATCGTACATAGTTTGATCAGGACGGTCCTTGTGTCGAGTCGAATCCAGAATGGTATCCCCGGTGCGTCCGCTTGCTTGCCCTTCTTTCTCTTCGGCCCTCGGGGCATGGAGCTGATGTTGGTATGTGAAATCGTTCGTCCTTAGGCCTTAAGCTTCAAGCTTCAAATTTCAAACTTCATGCATCAAGCTTTATAATTATTAATACCCACCGCCCATCCCCGCCCTCCACCCCAGCCCCGACCCATCTCCATCTCCATCTCCACGAGTCTCGAAAATTTCGCGCCGGGCGAGCGGCGCGCGCATGTCATTCTCCTTTCCCTTCCTTGGGTGCATTCTGCTGCGCCTGAGGCTATGTGAGTGTGAGGCTCTACGTACGTCTGTCGTCTTCCCTCTATCTCGTCTGTTCAGTCGTCTTTGATGGTGACGGCCTTTTGGCTCGTATCGTCGTATCGTCGCCGTCTCGTTACTGTCCGTTGTTATTGTAGAAGACGACACAACCCACACCCGGCAATCCTCTTCCTCCTCCGCCTCTACTCTACTCCTGTCGCCCACTTCCTCCGCTGCTCCTCTCACGAGCAGCGAGCGGCACCCTACCCTAATGCCCAAATGCCTCGGTGGCCAAGTTCCAACTTCGAACCTGCGTTTTCTCACAGCTCCGTCAGTAGTCTATCTATCCTTCACGCGTGCCTCCGATCGTCCTTTTCTTGTGGGTTCTGTCTTTCTTTTTCTTTCTCTTTCTCGCTGTTATTCTTTCTCAATCTTTCGCCGCTATTCTTTCTCCATCTTCCGCATTTCTCTCCTCCCTCCATCCGTTCAATAATTCCGCACCTCGACGAACGCTGGCTTTACGTTTAAGCAGGTGGAGGGGGAATGTGCCGGGTCTTTGCCTGCTTTATGTAATAAATAAGGCAACTTTCTATGGACCTGCTGCATCGCCGTAAGTATTCATGTCCGTGAAAATTAAAATCAGTGTGTAGCCGCCCAAGTCTTGCAATGAAATCACTGACGAAGCTGAGCCTCGACTTCCTTTTCTTCCTGCTAGTCGGAAGTTACCTATACTCAGATCTACATAGCCACAGTCGGTGAGTCGGACGACGACGGGGGTTCGATTTGAATTTCGATTTTGATGATTCCATAGATTTCAGTGCTATGAATGATTGCCTTTGAACGCGAGGCCGGGGAGAAAGAGAAATTGTCTATGAGGCTGTTCACCTATACCTATACTAATAGAGCTCGAGCTCGCAAGCACAGAAGTGACCCGCCTCTATTCTCTCCGCATCTTTCATTGCTCTGCCCACTCACCGACCTCAGTTCATTTCCCTACATGCCTTTGCTGGATGACACGCTAGGGGCTGCATTCCTCGGGATGCTTGCCGCTGCTATGTGCGTACGGAGCTGAACTTGCGTCCGTCCCCAGTGACGTGGGTAACCGGAAGGACAGCTGGATGTTAAAATTGATGGTCAGTTCATCAAGAAATTCTTATGTGGGGATGGACTCGGACACACTGTAACTGAAGGATGTTTTTGTAGGTCGCTTATCTCTGGTGGAGAGAGGCCTGATTCTCCCATCTTGGGCTGAGGACTAACTCAAGCGCCACTGGCAGGATCCTCGACACGATACATAGGGCCTTCACCGCCCATGGGCTATACCTCTACCTCATTGCGAACTTTGGCAACTTCCAAGTTATCCTATATCCGACGTGGTAGGTGTCCTCGATCGCCGACTCAAAAGTCGATGATCAGCCAGAATTTAAAATTCTCGCATCCCAGGTCGATGCTTGCTCCGGGGGTATACCTTACTGTAAGCTTTCTTCGCGCGTGTTCGAGAATATTCCAGACGAAACTCACGAATGAGTTTTAGGGATTGAGCGACCTCACTGCGGCGAGCAGAGATTTCTTGCTTGGCGTCTTCTAATCGGAATTGTCAGTCTGTCTTACCTTGGCCCCCCGATGACAGCCGGACCCTGTATCTAATCACCATACGTAGATCGCATTATCGCTCCTCGTCTTCGGTGAGCACACGTCACATTTCATTGACAAGTAAGCGCGCGAATTTCCAACTTCCCGCATCTCAAACTTGAACTAGCATTCGCTCTTGGTATATTTCACATTCGACCTAGAACGGGGGAATTCTCTCATCATATTTCACCGTAGGATTTGGGTCTAGAGGGTGAGTCTTTGTCATTGCAACCCACTACTTCGAACTTTTCTCCAAAAACATCACAAAGATATGTCCTCAAAACGTTCAATCGCTTTGGTGAGATCTCAGTACCTTTTTCTCAATCGCCGCACCTGCTCGTCGTCCTCTCCCTGACCAAGCGCCGGCCTGTAGACAATGCTTTACATAAGCTCCGCAGGCGCTGTCGCGGCCGATATCGATGCGGTCATCGCTGTGTCGTTCTGTACGCTCCTCGTGCGAAGTCGGACCGGCTTCAAGAGGTGTTTGCTCTGACATCCCCGGACCCCAATATACTTCCCCGTTGACCCCCGTCTCTGATTGTAGAACGGACTCCATCGTGACCTTCTTAATGGCGTTCACGATAAACACAGGTAGGAAGTCGAAGGTGGTACATATCGCTGGGTGGGGAACTTGAAGGCTGATACTTCGCTGGTACTAGGCTTGCTCACGAGATACGGAGCCTCGCAAAGTCCATCACGCGACGCGCCTCACACCATCATGATAGCATCTGCGCTCTGGCCTGTCTGGCTACGATATTCTCATATTTTCCTTCTTTCTTACTCTACAGTTTGATGAATAGTACGCGCTTTGGCCTCACAAGTTCATTTTTGTAGGCCTCTACTTCGCCATCGGAAAACGTACGCCCTCGCCTCGTCTCTAGTTAACTGTGCTGTTCAACTCCCCTTTCCCCACTATTCTTCTTACCTCTCTCATCCTTGATATAGTCTACATCAACTCTCTACTTGCCTCCCTGAACACACGCGGCGCACTTCGCTACCTTGGCCGCGGTGGTGTTATCACAGCACCGACACAAGCCCTGACACCGATTGAGTTTCCTGTCCAAGACAGTGAAATGGAAATGGCAAGGGTCGAATCGGAGGGCATCGCGGAGTGGCGCCGGAGCGATATTATCGAACAGAGCGGGGAGTAAGGAAGTTGGAGCACGGAACTGAGAGAGTGCTTCATTGCTCGTGGCGTTAAAAGAAGTGAAGACCACTGGCTTTGGGAAGTTGAGATCCGGCGCACTGAGCGCTGATGGCTGTGACATAACTTGGTGGGTTAACTGAGGATTTTTGAGGACTGAGCGCACGGACCGTTACTTACTTACTTACTTACTTCATTTAAGGGCGACACAATCGATTATTATAGATGCAATCGGACGCTTCAATTACATTTTTACTTCCACAGATAGAATTCAATTCTATTGGTAATTGACTGGGAATTTCTGCTGAAGATCGTCGTCAGATTTAACGAACTGGCCGGCCGCGTAAACTGCAATATAGCGCTGATTTCTGCTGGCGGGCCCGGGATCGTAGGCCTGGCCGGGTGGCGCTAAATTGCATACAACGCATACAACGGGAATTGCACAGTACTTACAACAAACCGAGAACACACGATCGGCGTCGAACGTCGAACGTTGGACACCCTACTCGCTCTCAACCTATGTAGTTCAGTTCCAGGATTTCTGGCCAGCAGGGGAGTGCGCGTGTAGAGTACGTGTGTTAGAGAGGTCCAGGAGGGCGTGGTGTAGTTAAGCAAAGGGGTAGCCTGTAGGACTCGGAGACGGTAGAGTAGACGACAATGAGGAAGGCTCTACGCCACGCCGCGAACTAGTCTTTACTGCCCTTGTCGGGAACGACAGGCGCACACCAGACCGCAGCGTTACAAGTTACAACCTCAACCCAGGACCGCTCAGAGGACCCATCCCAAATCCCATCCCAAGTCCCACCCCAAGTCCCACCCAACCAACTGATCCATTCACGCACTGAACGCGGTAAGCACCACGATGTCAAGCGTTGACGACAACCGGCGAACGTCTTGACTCCTGTCAACGGTAGCACCCGACTCCGACTCCTGCATGACTTGAGAGCGGGCGTCGCAAGGCATCGCACGTCGAGGATGGATATGGCAGATGGAGGGTAAGGGCGAGGGGGCGTCCTAACTCCTGGGAGGCGTCCCAACTAGCTGGACTCAGAGGGCTCAGGGCACCACCCAACTTGAACGTTTGAACCCGAAAGCGAAAGCGAACGACCCAGACCAAGCGTCCTAGTCAACGTCCAACGTCCAACGCTCAGCAGAGAGCCTTTGACCTTGAGCCGACCGCAAAACAAAGAGCTCCAACCAAAACCCAAAACCCAAACCCAAAGACCGAGTCACTCAACAGCAACGTCATCACGCCGAAAGGAACCCCTCAAGCTCAAGTCCCACCGCCACCTCCACCTCCACCATCTGCAACCCAAAGACAGCGAGGATCCAGCGCAGTTCGGACGAAGACCGTAATACTTAGCGCTCCCAACTATCAAGTCGAATGCGCACCTCGGACTTCAAGTTCCTCGGCGTGGTAGGACAAGAACCCGAATCGCCGTTAGAGGCGTCTGATGTGCCTCCAACGTCCGAACGGCGTCGATGTTGATGGCCAACTACCGAGTCAACGGCCAACTAGAGAGTCGACAGCCAACAGTCAACGTTCGACGTCTCCAACCTTAGAACGTCCGACGCCGCCCTAGGCGAGCGTTGAGAAACCAGCACGAAAATCTCGAATCACGACGAAGCGACAACGAAAAGAATGAAAAGACTACGACAGAACCCCCCCTGCCCCCGCCAAAAACACAAAAAGGGACATGAGGGCGAAATTCACCGAATCGACCGGCCGAGCGAACCACTCGAGGACGTCAAGCCGTCCATAGTAAGTAAGGTGAGGCTATTGCCGTGCGGAGACCTGAGAGGGGGGAAGGGGTGGGTCAGCAAGGTCTGGGCCGCGAGGAAGGGAAGCGAGGAGGGAAGGGGTGCGGAGGGGACAGGAGAAGAGGGCGGGGAGGGCG